TTATATAAATAATGAAGCCGCGTTCATTTTATCTAGCCGTGTTTTTCCATTTTTGGCCGTGATAACACGGCTAACACGGCCCTCTAGCTAAGACCCTGGGGGACATTGATGTCCCTGGGGGTGGGGACAATTTCGCTCTTTTACTACCCCTCCAAGTCAAAATCCCTGCCCCTCCCTGGTTGGGGGGTTTACATTGACTGGTGCATTAATTAAAGAAGTGTCAGTGCCACATATGTAGTAAAAGCCAACTTGTCAGTAAAGGCCACAGAGCAAGATTGTATTTCAAAGACTGCCAGTGACAAAAACAATTGATAGTCCTGAAATAGAGTATGCCAACAGTTAGTATACTGCAAATAACTATTCTATCAACAAGATAATGTGTAATAGGGTTTGTTTGTGGAAACACCACGTAAATTTATTACTGCAAAGCTTTCGATCCGTAAGCCCGGATCTTCATCAGTGCTAATAATATGAAGATCCGGGCTTACGGATCGAAAGCTTTGCAGTAATAAATTTACGTGGTGTTTCCACAAACAAAACCTATTATATTTTATCACCATGCAAACATACAAAGAACTTAAGATAATGTGTGTTTTACAAGTGTTTTTTATATATCAATCCAATGGCATGTAACCTAAAATTCAGCAGTGTCTGTGTAATGAAATACACCCTAACTTCTCAAATATGGTCAAATTAACTATACTACATTGTGCATAATAATATATGGACTGGTTCAAAAATATATTGAATTTATATTAGTGAACTGGTGAACTATTGATGTATAGATTATGCCAAGTATAGAATGGCACAAGGACTTTCATGTTATCAGCATGATTAAATCGTGAGATTGTGCAAATAATCTTGGTAAATCTCTTAGAGATATCCTCAGCAGCTACATTTTAAGGTAAAATGACTATGGTAAAGCTATTCAAGGCAAAAAAGCAATGGATCTGTCAACCTCGTTGTCAACAGTAAATTTAGCTAAGTTTATGATCCATTTATTGCCGTATTTTAGCTGAGAATTCATTTACGACAATGCAGTACGATAGACTTACCTTTGAATTTATGATATATTCTTTTAAAATGGTCACCAAAGCTCTAAAACTCGATTGGTATCGTTTTAACTTTCTCACTCCTCAATGTTTACATGAAAATTTGTCAAATTACACTTGTTTAGGGCACTGGAAACGAGACACGGCCAAGATGCGCGAGGCGACATGCGCGAGGACATCAACATCAAAGATTCCGACATCGAGTGAGACTTCTGGTCTTATTATTTATTTTGTGGTGTCGCGTTCGTATAGAAACGCAGGCTTCTGATTGGCTTACACTCGTTGACAAAATTACTAAAAATAGTAAATGTCAACAACAGCATTTTGAAGAATTTGAACTTTATTCATTTTAATATTATATATTATAAGACTATCGAACAAATAAAACTAGAAATGGAAACCAAAAGCAATAGCAAAGCATCACAGCAAAAAAGTCTATCATAAATGACTTGAATCTATCGCTTAAATCCAATACACGAAACTATAACAGTATTCTGAACTTCGTCTTCGGATTGACATCAGACTATAGTATAGTACATTTTGAGGTCGTCGTGGCTTCACGGATTATTCTCATTAGTGAGCAAGTCAGCAAGCGAAGGCATACAAAAGATACCCAAATATGTACGAATAATTATATTGTTGATCCTCGCTGGCATGTCATTTAGATAAATATATATCGTACATTAAACGTTGTACTATTTACTGTATTTTAACTGCTGACAATTTCGTCGTCGATACGGCTTCCACTATTGGCACACTCGTGATTTCGAAGAAATTAATAAATACATGCTCATTTATCATTTATTTAGACCACAGTTAGTAAAATTTTAGACGTATTCGGTATTCCAAATCCCAATCTGTCTGACCGTATTTTAGTAATAGCTTCAATGAATATTCAGAACATTGTTCTTTCAGTCGCACATAGTACAAGTATTACTGTACATTCAATGCCAATGGTAGTATTTTATTCGGCTTTATATTTGTATGTGTATTGATATCTATTTAATATTTGAAGAATTCTATATTTTTCCGAGTAATATATTGTGCGGCCCAACAGGTGGGAAATTTGTCGTCGCTGACCAAAAAATTGCGGGCAGAAACAAAGCTCATTGCATTTGCATTCAAAACAAAGCAGAAAGTTAGCAAGAAGCTGTTTTAGCTGACGATTTTTTGCTTTTCATTCAACGATTTACAAATTATTGGTTATTCTTTTAAAAGTCGATCATGAATTCTTTGTTTTGGGATGATCGTTTTGTAATCGCGTGATTGGAAGAAGTTAATATGGCGACGTGAACATGGGAGTAAATACAGTATACGTCGATCTATGGCTTGTTTAAAACCGTAATAAACGAAGAAAGACGTGATTTCAGAATGAAATGTAAGTTGAAATTAACTTTATATGCCTCAAATTTTCCATCCTATGTTTCTTAATGTAACTTTAGCTGTCTAAGTTCAAAATACAAGCTCGCGAAATTTGACAAATTTTGAAAATATGTAAAAATAGCTTGACTTTGAACTGTAGTTTCTCAAAAATAGCCTGTGGCCTCAATTTCAAATATAGCTAAATGAAAAGAAAAAACTTTTCGGCGTTTGTAGGTATCAAACATATCGTCAGGAAAATAGGGGCTCACAATGTTTTAGTTCAGTCTTTGAGACCCAGTTGCTTCGCACGTGTTGTGGTCAAATTTTTGCCAAGAATCAAAGGCCGAAATGTGAACTTCCTTCATGAAAACCGCTTCGAGAAGGGTCTAGTTTGAAAATTTAGCTATTAATTTCGATTTCATGAGCATATTTTGGTTACACGTTAAGTATTTTTGTGCTTGATGAGATTCAAAATTTGTTGTATATTCAAGCCCGGCTTTTGTGTAATTTTGGTGATGACCGGAACAGAAATAAAGATATTTTAAAAACTGGCCGTGGCCTCACGATAAAACTTTCTACAAATGTTCTCTGTTTCATGTACTTTTATTTGATATCTTAGGTATAAGCGTAAAAATAGGGGCTCATACAGTTTACGAGGTTGTAAAATGCATGACTTGCCTCTATTTTCATGTAAACATTCGAAATTCTTCGACAGCAAAGTAGCAACTGTTTCAGATCGAATGCACACGGACAGCCCACCAGAGACAATGGCAGGGTACTGAAATAGAACGTCACTAAAAAATTCTGTATGATTAATTTAGATCATGTCCACTCTTTCAACATAAGACAGTCATTTATTTTGTACAAACATTTGGCAATATTTACACGATTGTGCCTTTTTGTAAACACGCGCTGCGTGTATTCCACGCAATTGCGTGGCTCATTTTACTCGCGCATGCTCAGACAAATTTCACACCTGTTGTGCGGCCCGCTAATGCTTTGTATTATTGTTCATATATACATTATGTATACATTTTAATATTCAGTATTTCTTCGTTGCACAATGTACACGCCTTGCATCAATTTGACTTTTGACAGTTCATTTATCGCAGTCGACGCTGATTGGTTCGCGTTTAGCAGATGCGAATGTATATATATATGCATATATAGCAGATGTATATATATATATATATGTATATATATATATATATGTATATATATATATATGTATATATAATATATATATAATATATATATAATATATATATATATATATATATATATATAATATATATATAATATATATATATATATATATATATATATATATATATATATATATATATATATATATATATATAATATATGATCGTTCATGGGTTCGATTCTCTCGTTGCCCATTCATGTGACAAAAGTTAGTCAACGAAACACAAACAGTGCTCAGTACCATGGCCATATAGAAAGAGCGTAATATAAGTTAATGAGTTTTTACCTCAAAAAACCCCCACAACAGTCTATTTCATCCGTATAGGAATCATCAGGTGGCCTCGTCTTCGAAAGGTTTCAAAAGTGGAATTGAAGGAGGC